ATTTAAGTTGCAGGATGGATACACCGCTTACATCATTCAATAGATATGCTCATTACTTAATCAACAAGAAAAAAGAAAACGACACAACTGTCGTTACTATTTTGAAAATGGCACAAGTGTCGTTATAGCACCAACAATGTTTTATTGTAACAAAAAAATAGCATGACTGCCATTATGGCTTCATTGAGTGTAAGTTGTCACAAAATCCCTCGTTCCAAACATTATAAATAGTTTGCTTTTGAAAATGACAAAAGTAGTAAATCATAACACAACACCACCATCATTTTTCAATATTACAAAAGTAGTACATCGTAACACTACAAAAGCTGCATATGTATCGTCTTATCTTCATCGTTCATGTCTCTCGCCGAGTGGTACACGGTCTGTACAAATGATACGGTTATACCCATTTTTTCAAATACCTACTACACTTACGAGACTTGCACATCTCTCCGGCTGATTGTTACCTTTTTTTGGTGGACGTCAACTTCCTCTTCGTGTCAACGGTCGTATCATCTTTCTTGATCGAACATTATCGAGAATTTCCAAGTCTGCCTTGTTTGGTAGTGGAAATATATATTCAGAATAAACTTGTTTCCAATAAGAAGTGCTATAAAATGGAGAGCAAAACCTGTAACGGTTATCTCCAACATCCCTTACTACAGCAATTGCATGTGCACGTAGAAATTGGTCCAGATCAAATTCCTTGTATGTGCATCTCCCCATCTCCAAATGAATAATGAAACTTTCCATTTCATCACTCACTTGCATCTCATCTGGGCTAAGAGCTTTCACCTCGAAACCTTTTGACTCGTTATACATATCATACATCTTCTCCTCCAAAGGTAAGGTGAGGTAGCTCGTACATTTTTCAGTATCAACACATCTATCATGAAACCATCTTTTCATCTTCTCTATGATATGCTCGATCAAATGGAGTATAGGAAATTCTTGAGAACTTTTCAACAATGCGTTCAATGATTCTGCATTATTTGTGGTTATACTATTGTATCTGATTCCATTGAAATGTGCTCTTGACCAATACTCCACACCAACATCATCCTCTAACTACCCTCGTATTTTCTCTTGTAGACTGCATAATGCTTGCATATTGATCTCAAATTTTACTAAACTATATGCCTCTGCAGTAGCTCTAACAATGGCATAATATGAATGCGAGAAAATTTGCTCTTCAAATTAGTTTGTAGATGCCATATGCAATACCCATGATGTGCGTTAAGATAGACGTTGCTAAAACCATTTGATATGTTTGGTGCACGATCAGATATAAAGACTAACTCGTCTATGTCGTTGATTATTTGCCACAATTTTGAAAGAACCAAGTCCATGAATTATTGTTTTCTGAATTTACTATGCCCCACGCAAGTGGATAAATTTGACGATTTGCATCTGGCATGTGGCAACAAGTAACATACCTCGATACTTGGATTTCAAAGATGTTCCATCCACACAAATTATCCCGTTGGATTGAAGAGAGGAATTCATGTATGCTTGGTCCTAATGCCATGAAAAATACATGAAATGTCCAGCATTATCAGTTTCAATAAAAGTCAACGTGCCAGGATTTTCTCTCTCCAAAACTTGATAATACAATGGTAACTTCGCATAGCTATCATCAGGGCTACCTCGAACTTCTTTGTAAGCAGATTCTTTGGCCATGTACGACTTGTGATATTTTATAGTTATGCCAAATTCTCGCTGAACGTCATTGATAATGTTTCTCGATCTGTACACTAAGTTGACATCCTGATACTTTGGAGCTACATGCTTTCCAATTACCGAATAGGTCGCGTGTCTATTATCCCTGCGACGAACACTCATGGAGCAAGTGTGATGGCCAGAATATTTTCGTATTTGAAAAATCTCAGATTCAGCTATTCTCGTTGCACGTAAACGCCAGTTGCAACTTTCCTCAACACAAACTACTGTATACACACTCTTATTTTATTTCTTTACTTTGAATTTAAATTGGTACTTCACAACAAGGAATTGAATTTTTGATATCAAAGCATTTTTAGTTGGAAATAACTCATCTTCATTTACATCCTCATTTTTCGGAATCCTAATCGATGATCTATATGGAATTGATCAAACAACTTCTATTGAAGTACCAATAATGCCCTCTTGCATGGAGAAATCAACATTGTTTTCATCTCTACAAGGAGATTTATCTTGAAAATCTTGTTTTTCGGAATTACCTTGAATAATGTTCAAGTTATCCCAATCCACATAGTTTCCTTCTATGTTATCATTTCCATAATCGTCATCATATTGCACAACTTCATTTTAATTGCTCACATATCCCTTTTCTACTTCACCATTGGTTTCTACTCCACCATCTCTTTCAAACTTAATTGCACTATCACACTCATCTGTAACTTTGGTCGAAATAGTCACGCAAATATAATGTTTTTTACAAATAGAAAGAAACCACTTCACTTTCATGTCACAATTAATCCTTTGTGGTGTAACTGAAAACTCAGTCATATCAGGGTTAAGAAACATCATCTCAATTTCATATAACTTTGAATCCACGTTAACAAGTTCCTGTACTTTGTTGTACAACTCTATATTTGAAATGCTAGTTGGAATATAAAGAATATCCACATTTTCTTCAGCATTCCCTACATAACTCCATGTTCATTTGCATTCTTCGGTCTTTTTAAACTCAACAAAATAGTATACATGTACCCATATCATTTCTACAGAATTTATAGCTGCAAATAAAATAAAAAAGTTAAATAATTTACTCAAGTATATATCAAAGTAATATGAAAATAGCTATCATATTTAAATTATCAAAGTAACCACATTGTATTATCAAGAACAGACAGACCATAACAGATAATGCTCGTATTGTCATTTTACATGGAAGATAACAACTGTAGTGTCGTTCTACACTACGTAAAACGGCTAGAGTGCCGTTCTATACTACAGTTCGTCCAATAGTTGCGGACAGTACAAAATACACCCACTGTGAAAAAAATCAGCTAAAATATCATTTCATACTATATTCAACAATAAAAGGATCAATGTACACGAGATTTCCAAAAATATCTTTTTTTTTTCTTTAAATATTATAGAGATTTAACGTAAATAATATAGAAACCAAAATTCTTATTCAAATGCTCAAAATGTTGGAGAAGATATGCGAGAAATATAATGAATAACAAGATTTTGGGGGTAGCAAGCACAGGGAGACGGAGATCACGTTGATACGATTGCAAATGAATAGGAGAATTTATAGGATTGAAGGGTATTTGTGTCTTTTCATGATAGAGATATTTTAGACCTTTTATACCATTTATTTAATGGTTTTTTTTAATTGATGTCATTTGACATATAAACATTGAGAAAAATGTTTTTTATTCAACTACATTGTTTGACTAACCCTTTTAACAAAGAATCCCTTAGGCCGTGTTTGATAGGCCACATTTTCCAAGGAAGTAGGAAAATATTTTCCACTTTTCACTTTTTGGCTGTTTGATAGGCAAAATTTTCCACCAAAAATATTTTCCAGATTTTCCCCACACGTGTGCAATTTCCGGGTTTTTGATGAAAATGTTTTCCTGCCTTTTTGGTCGGAAAATATTTTCCTAGCTGGCTGGAATTTTTTTTTTTCAATGGAAACAAATGNAACTGTGGAAAAAAAAATTAGCTAAAATATCATTTCATACTATATTCAACAATAAAAAGACCAATGTACACGAGATTACCAAAAGTACCTTTCTTTTTTCTTCAATTATTTAGAGATTTCAATGTAGATGATATAGAAACCAAAATTCTTATTCAAATGCTCAAAATGTTGGAGAAGATATGCGAGAAATATAATGAATAACAAGATTTTGGGGGTAGCAAGCACAGGGAGACGGAGATCACGTTGATACGATTGCAAATGAATAGGAGAATTTATAGGATTGAAGGGTATTTGTGTCTTTTCATGATAGAGATATTTTAGACCTTTTATACCATTTATTTAATGGTTTTTTTTAATTGATGTCATTTGACATATAAACATTGAGAAAAATGTTTTTTATTCAACTACATTGTTTGACTAACCCTTTTAACAAAGAATCCCTTAGGCCGTGTTTGATAGGCCACATTTTCCAAGGAAGTAGGAAAATATTTTCCACTTTTCACTTTTTGGCTGTTTGATAGGCAAAATTTTCCACCAAAAATATTTTCCAGATTTTCCCCACACGTGTGCAATTTCCGGGTTTTTGATGAAGATGTTTTCCCGCCTTTTTTGTGGGAATGTTTTCCCGGTTGGTTGGAATTTTTTTTTTTTTTTTTGTTTATGGAAANATTTTTTTTTTTCAATGGAAACAAATGTCATAACTAGTGGTAAAAAAAATTTCACTTTAAAAATTTTTCGGGTGGAAAATTATACCAATCAAACACACTTGAAATCATTTTCCCTACAAAACATTTTCTAGGCAAATCTTTCCCTATAAAACATTTTCTTTCCACCCATTTTTCACCCTTACAATCAAACGCACCCTTAATGTAATCTTATTATATGTAATGTAGGCTTCTGTTTCAGAACAATTATTTCAATGTTTTTTAGTTTTTATATTTATTTTTAATTATATATTTATGCAATAAAATATTTATAGGTAAATTAAAATTTTTCCCTTAAAAATCATTATTTAAAATTACATTTTCCCAACCAACATCATACAAGGCTAAATAAATAATTGTGGAGAAATAGCAAATCGGAGGACGATAAACTGTTAATTCATACACGAAAACTTCACACACAAACACACTGTATCTTGCGCCATTACTTTCTGCGAGCGACACCCTTTTGTACTGTATTTGATTTTTATCTAACTTTTCTTATAAAAAAAATTTCTTGGAATTTGCATTCAAATTTCCAAAGAAGAACAGCAATTTAAGGGTTTTCGAGATACGGAAGAATTCATTCAAGAAATTCAAGTGGGAGTTTTTTTTTTTTAGTTTTTATGTAAAAATCAGCAATGGGCGAATCTTCTGCTTGGCGTAGGCACTCGTTCTCTCAACCTTCTTCTCCTACTTCCAGTGCAGAAAAACAGGTCAGTAAAAAAAATGCTACTGAAACTGTCATATAAATTTTTGCGATTTTTTAGTGTTCGCTAAATGAGTTTTCGATTGTTTGAATAAAATGATTATGGGTTTTACGTTACTGATTTTTCCTCTCCGTTAAGTGTATATTTTGTTTGATTTGGGGTTTTGGTAGGGTGGATTCTGGAAATAGTATCTTTACAATTAGAATATTTTCCTTTCAAGTTTCAAATCTGGACGTGGAATTGTTACAAATTGATTTCTTTTGAACTTTGAAAAGCATGAGAGATTGTTCGGGAGATTCCTGTCATTAATTAGAAAATATTATTGCAATTTAAGCGATTGTTGGATACATTTTACAAATATGATTTCAGGGAAATTCGTTGAAACGGGCTCTAACATCATCAGTGTCCTTTGGAAGATTCATGTCTGAACAGTTGGATTGGGAAAAATGGTCTACGTTTACTCATAATCGCTACTTGGAAGATGTTGAGAAGTATTCCAGGCCTGGTTCTGTTGCTGAGAAGAAGGCTTTCTTTGAAGCTCATTATAGAAGGAGAAATGCAGCATTGGTAGAGCAACAAAATGCAATGACTAGCAATTATACAGAATCGAATATAACAAATGTGGTGATCGAAGAAACAAAGGCAGATGCTGTTCGGAATAGGGAGCTTGCAAATGGTTGTATCGTTACTGTCGATGAAAAAAAATTGGACGATGCCTCGACTGGAGGAGAAGAAAAGGCTACAGAACTGCCTGTTCTCACAGAAAATCTGGTACAGTTTTCAATCCAGCTAGAAAATGATGGGCATGTTGGCCATAGCATGCCCAATGAAGAGGATAAGGCGTGCAGCAAGGTGTGTGCAATAATTATTGCCTTCGTTTTTCATGTCTACTAGATAGCTAGTTTAGTTTGTTGTTAACTGGCTAACTTATGCTGATTTTCTAGGTTGCCACCACTACGAGAGATTCAGAATCGTCAGACAAGAAGAAATCTGCATTTTCAATCGCAAAGTTGTCAACAAATGGTATTGCATTAAAGCTTGTACCACCTGCTAAACCAGAAACGCCTGTTCATCTCAGGAAGAATGACCGTACAACTTTAAATAGCAACACTGTGCTAAATTCAATTAGCAAAAAGAACTTGACTGCAATGTCCCTTCACATGTCCGTCAATTTTGCTTCTTGTGCTGGTGAAACCAAAAAAGTATCATCTGTGGGGCTGGAGAAAATTGTAAATTCAAGACTCATCAAGACTCCAGTCCAGACATCTAAAGAAAATGCTCTTCAACAAACTTCAACTGAGGTGCTTTATTTTTTGTTCTTGCCTTCAGCTTCCTTATATTACTCATTTTTCTGTCCGTTTGAGAAAATCTCTAATGCATAATTTATTCACAATGTGGCAAGTGTAGGCATCTGTGGATGGTATATTAAAGCGTCGTTCAGTAAGCCCTCAACCAGAAAAGAGAAGGTCATTTGCTTTTCAAGTCTTAAAAGCAGAGAGGGAATCAGTATTTATGAAAATCTTATAGTCATTTGCCAATACGGTTCATCTTTTAACATCCTGATATCTCACTAGATTGATTAAATTATTTACAGGACTATAGCAAAACATGATAAATCAATTTCAGAAAACAGAACGGTGACGGGGAAAGTGCAGTCCCCAAATTTGAGGTAAGATTCTAGCTAATGTTATTTTACAAGTAATACCATACTTTGAATATTGGTATTGATTATTCAATGGATCCAGTTGCTGCCCACCCACCCGACTCGTACGAAAAAAGAAAAGCGTGGCTGAATGGGAAACTAATACTATGCCCTTGTTTGATGCACATTTTGGGAGTAAGAATGTATTTTTACTGTTGATGTGATGGGGAATATGTGGTTGAAAAAGAAAGAAAATTTATTGATGTGATGAAAAATATTATTTTACTGAAAAATGTGTGGTTAAAAATGAGTAGAAGAATGAGAATGAGAAAATTTTACTGTTGATTTGATGGGGAATATATGGTTAAAAAAGAAGTAGAAGTTATTGATGTGATGGAAAATATTATTTTATTGAAGAATGTGTGGTTGAAAATGAGTAGAAGAATGAGAATGAGAAAAATAATGTGGCTCAAACAGGGGCTAGAAGTTTGGTAATTGGCACAAAACACCCCTATCCTTTGCCTCTATTGTGGAATACCCTCTATCCTTTCATTTTCGCATAAAATGCCTCTATATGATCTTTTCTTTGCTGCGGAATACAATGTTTTCTTCCATTTTCTCAATAAAATCTTGTGAAATGACAAATATGCCCTCCTTAAAAAAAATGCAAACGAGTCCCAAAAATAATTAAAAAATTAAATAGACGTATAAGTTAGTTTTTATATTTTATATAAAAAAATTAAATAAATATTTTATTTCACTTTTATTTTTATTTATTTATTAATATTATCGATGTATAAGTTAGTTTTTATTTTCTATTTTATTTTCAATAAATTTATTGTACTTAGTATATATTATATATATGCAAATCAAATGGATGACGACAATATTATAAATCATATTATTAACGATTATCAATAATTATTCAATAAAAAGAGAGAAGTTTGGGTCAATAACATCAATGGTTTTTTTATCAACCACTAGCGATCAAAGAACTATTGATAATCGTCGGCAATATAATTTATGATATTGTCGTCTTCCATTTGATTTGTACACACATATAATATATATTAATTAAAATAAGCCCTTGTTTGTTCTTCATTATTTTCAAATACATTTTTTCGATTCTTCTTTTCAACCACACATTTTTCAATAAAATATTACACGCAAACCAAAATCTTTTCCTTATTTTTTAATCACATATTCTCCATCAAGCTATTATTCCAAAGTGCATTTTTGAGAAAAAAATGGGGCTCAAACATGTTCTAATTTTATTGAAGACGAAATAGAAGATAAAAACAAACTCATAAGTTGATAATATTATATTATAAATGAAAGAAAAGGCTTTGGGTTTGCTCCTCAATGATCACCAGTTCGAGTCTCCTCAAGGCCACTGAGGTGAGTACTCGACCGTAAATTTCAGGGTCTCATGGGATTAGTCGAGGTGCGCGCAAGTTGGCCCGAACATTCACGATTATAAAAAAAAAATGAAAGAAATAAAAACTAAGTTATACATTCATTTAATTTTTTAATTATTTATTTAAGATTCGTTTGCATTTAAAAAAAAAAAGAATTAGGATTACGGTTTCAATTAATTCTTTATTTTTTCTTGGGGTAATTTATTGTAAATCAAATGAAAGATGATAATATCATAAATTATATTATAGACGATTATCAATAGTTCTTTGATCACTAATGATTGACGAAGAAATCATTGATGTTACTGACCCAAGTTTCTCTGTTTTTATTGAATAACTATTGATAATCGACTAATCGTCAATAATATAGTTGATATTGTCGAAGTTCATTTGATTTACATATATATAATATATATACTAATAACAACAATTTCATTGAAAAAGAAATAGAAGATAAAACCTAATTTATACGTCGATAATTTTAATAAATAAAAGAAATAAAAAGTGAAAAAAATTATTTATTTAATTTTTAAATAACATATAAAAACTAACTTATACTTCTATTTAATTTTTTAATTATTTATTTGAGACTCATTTGCATTTTAAAAAAAAATTAGGACTATAGTATGCTCGTATTGTCATTTTACATGGAAGATAACAACGGTAGTGTCGTTCTACACTACGTAAAACGGCTAAAGTGCCGTTCTATACTATAGTTCGTCTAATGGTTGCGGAAAGTACAAAAATACACCTACTGTGAAAAAAATCAGCTAAAATATCATTTCATACTATATTCAACAATAAAAGGATCAATGTACACGAGATTTCCAAAAATATCTTTCTTTTTTCTTTAAATATTATAGAGATTTAACGTAGATAATATAGAAACAAAAATTCTTATTCGAATGCTCAAAATGTTGGAGAAGATATGCAAGAAATATAATGAATAACAAGATTTTGGGGGTAGCAAGCACATGGAGACGGAGAGCACGTTGATACGATTGAAGATGAATTGGAGAATTTAATAAGGTTGAAGGGTATTTGTGTCTTTTCATGATAGAGATATTTTAAACCTTTTATACCATTTATTTATTGGTTTTTTTAATTGATGTCATTTGACATATAAACATTGAGAAAAATATTTTTTTATTCAATTACATTGTTTGACTAACCCTTTTAACAAAGAAAAGAATCCCTTAGTGTAATCTTATTATGGCTATGTTTGGTACCAATTTACTTAGATTGTCCAAATTTAAATTTTACAGAATAAGCCCTTGTTTGATCCACATTTTACAAAATCTCATTCTTTCAAAACTCATTTTCAACCACACATTCTTCAATAAAATAATATTTTCTAATACATCAATAATCTTATCTTCTTTTTCAACCACACATTTCCCATCATATCACTATTCAAAATCAATTCTTCCCTCAAAAAATCCCTACCAAACACACACTATATGTAATGTAGGCTTCTGTTGCAGAACAATTATTTCAATTTTTTTTAGTTTTTATACTTATTTTTAATTATACATTTATGTAATAAAATATTTATAGGTAAATTAAATTTTTTTCCTTAAAAATCATTATTTAAAATTACATTTTCTCAACCAACATCCTACAAGGCTATAGAGTGTGTTTAAGATACATTCTTTTGAAAGAATGTATTATTGAATAGTAGATTGATGGAGAATGTGTAGTTAAAAATGAAGGAAAAGTTATTGATGTGATGAAAAATATTATTTTATTGAAGAATGTGTGGTTAAAAATGAGTAGAAGAATGAGAATGAAAAAAATAATGTGTACCAAACAAAACCTAAATAAATAATTGTGGAGAAATAGCAAATCGGAGGACGATAAACTGTTAATTCATACACGAAAACTTCACACACAAACTCACTGTATCTTGCGCCATTACTTTCTGCGAGCGACACCCTTTTGTACTGTATTTGATTTTTATCTAACTTTTCTTATTAAAAAAATTTCTTTGAATTTGCATTCAACTTTCCAAAGAAGAACAGCAATTTAAGGGTTTTCGAGATACGGAAGAATTCATTCAAGAAATTCAAGTGGGAGTTTTTTTTTTTAGTTTTTATGTAAAAATCAGCAATGGGCGAATCTTCTGCTTGGCGTAGGCACTCGTTCTCTCAACCTTCTTCTCCTACTTCCAGTGCAGAAAAACAGGTCAGTAAAAAAAATGCTACTGAAACTGTCATATAAATTTTTGCGATTTTTTAGTGTTCGCTAAATGAGTTTTCGATTGTTTGAATAAAATGATTATGGGTTTTACGTTACTGATTTTTCCTCTCCGTTAAGTGTATATTTTGTTTGATTTGGGGTTTTGGTAGGGTGGATTCTGGAAATAGTATCTTTACAATTAGAATATTTTCCTTTCAAGTTTCAAATCTGGACGTGGAATTGTTACAAATTGATTTCTTTTGAACTTTGAAAAGCATGAGAGATTGTTCGGGAGATTCCTGTCATTAATTAGAAAATATTATTGCAATTTAAGCGATTGTTGGATACATTTTACAAATATGATTTCAGGGAAATTCGTTGAAACGGGCTCTAACATCATCAGTGTCCTTTGGAAGATTCATGTCTGAACAGTTGGATTGGGAAAAATGGTCTACGTTTACTCATAATCGCTACTTGGAAGATGTTGAGAAGTATTCCAGGCCTGGTTCTGTTGCTGAGAAGAAGGCTTTCTTTGAAGCTCATTATAGAAGGAGAAATGCAGCATTGGTAGAGCAACAAAATGCAATGACTAGCAATTATACAGAATCGAATATAACAAATGTGGTGATCGAAGAAACAAAGGCAGATGCTGTTCGGAATAGGGAGCTTGCAAATGGTTGTATCGTTACTGTCGATGAAAAAAAATTGGACGATGCCTCGACTGGAGGAGAAGAAAAGGCTACAGAACTGCCTGTTCTCACAGAAAATCTGGTACAGTTTTCAATCCAGCTAGAAAATGATGGGCATGTTGGCCATAGCATGCCCAATGAAGAGGATAAGGCGTGCAGCAAGGTGTGTGCAATAATTATTGCCTTTGTTTTTCATGTCTACTAGATAGCTAGTTTAGTTTGTTCGTAACTGGCTAACTTATGCTGATTTTCTAGGTTGCCACCACTACGAGAGATTCAGAATCTTCAGACAAGAAGAAATCTGCATTTTCAATCGCAAAGTTGTCAACAAATGGTATTGCATTAAAGCTTGTACCACCTGCTAAACCAGAAATGCCTGTTCATCTCAGGAAGAATGACCGTGCAACTTTAAATAGCAACACTGTGCTAAATTCAATTAGCAAAAAGAACTTGACTGCAATGTCCCTTCAGATGTCCGTCAATTTTGCTTCTTGTGCTGGTGAAACCAAAAAAGTATCATCTGTGGGGCTGGAGAAAATTGTAAATTCAAGACTCATCAAGACTCAGACATCTAAAGAAAATGCTCTTCAACAAACTTCAACTGAGGTGCTTTATTTTTTGTTCTTGCCTTCAGCTTCCTTTTATTATTCATTTTTCTGCCTGTTTGAGAAAATCTCTAGTGCATAATTTATTCACAATGTGGCAAGTGTAGGCATCTGTGGATGGTATATTAAAGTGTCGTTCAGTACGCCCTCAACCAGAAAAGAGAAGGTCATTTGCTTTTCAAGTCTTAAAAGCAGAGAGGGAATCAGTATTTATGAAATCTTATAGTCATTTGCCAATACGGTTCATCTTTTAACATCCTGATATCTCACTAGATTGATTAAATTATTTACAGGACTATAACAAAACATGATAAATCAATTTCAGAAAACAGAACAGTGACGGGGAAAGTGCAGTCCCCAAATTTGAGGTGAGATTCTAGCTAATGTTATTTTACAAGTAGTACCAAACTTTGAATATTGGTATTGATTATTCAATGGATCCAGTTGCTGCCCACCCACCCGACTCGTACGAAAAAAGAAAAGCGTGGCTGAATGGGAAACTAATACGGCCCTTGTTTGATGCACATTTTGGGAGTAAGAATGTATTTTTACTATTGATGTGATGGGAAATATGTGGTTGCAAAAGAAGAAAAAGTTATTGATGTGATGGAAAATATTATTTTATTGAAAAATGTGTGGTTGAAAATGAGTAGAAAAATGAGAATGAGAAAAATAATGTGGCTCAAACAGGGGCTAGAACTTTGGTAATTGGCACAAAACACCCCTATCCTTTGCCACCATTGTGGAATACCCTCTATCCTTTCATTTTCGCATAAAATGCCTCTATATGATCTTTTCTTTGCTGTGGAATACAATGTTTTCTTCCATTTTCTCAATAAAGTCTTGTAAAATGACAAATATGCCCTCCTTTAAAAAAAATGCAAATGAGTCCCAAAAATAATTAAAAAATTAAATAGACATATAAGTTAGTTTTTATATTTTATATAAAAAAATTAAATAAATATTTTATTTCACTTTTATTTTTATTTATTTATTAATATTATCGACGTATAAGTTAATTTTTATTTTCTATTTTATTTTCAATAAATTTATTGTACTTAGTATATATTATATATATGTAAATCAAATGGACGACGACAATATTATAAATCATATTATTAACGATTATCAATAATTATTCGATAAAAAGAGAGAAGTTTGGGTCAATAACATCAATGGTTTCTTCATCAACCACTAGCGATCAAAGAACTATTGATAATCGTCGGCAATATAATTTATGATATTGTCGTCTTCCATTTGATTTGTACACACATAATGTATATTAATTAAAATAAGCCCTTGTTTGTTCTACATTATTTTCAAAATACATTTTTTTAATTCTTCTTTTCAACTACATATTCTTCAGTAAAATATTAACGCAAACCAAAATCTTTTCCTTATTTTTTAATCACATATTCTCCATCAAGCTACTATTCCAAAGTGCATTTTTGAGAAAAAAAATGGGGCTCAAACATGTTCTAATTTTATTGAAGACGAAATAGAAGATAAAAGCAAACTCATACGTTGATAATATTATGGGCCTGTTTGGTAAAAATTCTTATTTTCTATAGCAAATCAATTCTCATTTTCAACCACACATTTTTCAATAAAATAATATTTTTCATCACATCAATACTTTTTTCTTCTTTTTCAACCACACATTTCCCATCATATCACTATTCAAAAATCAATTCTTCCCCCAAAAATCTCTACCAAACACACTCTATATTATAAATGAAAGAAAAGGCTTTTGGTTTGCTCCCTATGGTCACCAGTTCGAGTCCCCTCAAGGCCATTGAGGTGAGTACCCGAACGTAAATTTCAGGGTCCCATAGGATTAGTCGATGTGCGCGCAAGTTGGCTTGAAAATTCACGATTATCAAAAAAAAAAAATGAAAGAAATAAAAACTAACTTATACATTCATTTAATTTTTTAATTATTTATTTAGGATTCGTTTGCATTTAAAAAAAAAGAATTAGGATTACGGTTTCAATTAATTCTTTATTTTTTCTTGGGGTAATTTATTGTAAATCAAATGAAAGATAATAATATCATAAATTATATTATAGATGATTATCAATAGTTCTTTGATCACTAATGATCAATGAACACATCATTGATGTTACTGATCCAAGATTTTCTGTTTTTATTAAATAACTATTGATAATCGACTAATCGTCAATAATATAGTTGATATTGTTGAAGTTCATTTGATTTACATATATACAATATATATACTAAAAACAATAATATCATTGAAAAGGAAATAGAAGATAAAACCTAATTTATACGACGATAATTTTAATAAATAAAAGAAATAAAAAGTGAAAAAAATTATTTATTTAATTTTTAAATAACATATAAAAACTAACTTATATTTCTATTTAATTTTTTAATTATTTATTTGAGACTCATTTGCATTTTTAAAAAAAAATTAGGACTATAGTTGCAATTAATTCTTTATTTTACTTTCTTTTTACTTTATTGAAAGAGGAAGGTATATTTGTCATTTCACAAAGTTTTATTGAGAAAATGGAAGAAAATTTTGTATTCAACCAAAAAAAGGTCATACAAGGAGGTTTTCTGCCAAAATGAAGGATATGACGTATTTCACAAAGAATAATTACATTTTATTTATATATATTTATATAAATATATGTATGTATAAATATTGATTCTCTATTCATATAATTTGTTAGAATCTGAATAAGAGTTATGTATGTTGATACCATTTGTTAGGAATAGAAGAAATAAGATTATATGACATAATATGAAGTAACAATCACAATACAAGAAGAATACAAGAAATTGGCAGAGGAATGAAGAATTTGTTATAAAGGAGAAAGAATTACAAAGATTGTGTGTTTATCACAATTTTAATGAAGTTAACTTTTTTAACTATGAAGAAGATCCAACCATATTTGGGAGTACATGATAACAGCCCTAAAGATGGAAATAACATCAAAAATTGTGTGGAATAAAGAAAACAATCTTGGGTTGGACAAGTGCGGCGCTCGAGCATCGTAGGCGGGCGACAGCTCTCTGCTGAAAATTTTGTCCCACCGCTCGAGCAGGAAGCTAGCAACAACGCGGCTTCTTTTCCTCCTTCGTCCATATTTTGACATTTTCAATGTCCAATCCATCAAATCCACAAATATCCAACCGAATTTGGGTCAAACTTTAACATAATTATAAAACTATCATAAGCTTAAGCAACATTGTCAATCACACACACACGCGCGTGAAATAAAGTACCTGACCTATAAATAATACGAGAAGATTTAATTGTTTTTCTTAAATCCATGTGGCAGGTTTTATAAATCTTCAAGTACATGGGGAAGCGAAGCAAGATGCTCAGCTGTGTCTAGTTCTTCCAGCTTCAAGAGTGAAGAAAGAGTGGCAAAAATTAAGGAGGCAAGTCAAATGCAGTCACTCTTTTATTCAAGGTTTATCCAAGTAATCTTTTTTAATTTGTTTTAATGTCCCTTTCTATTGATGCTACTTCAGTTCTTTCAAAACCTAGAGCCGAAGCTAAACACAAAGGAGGCAGGAAACAAGCAGCTTCATACAAAGTTGCAGGTTTTTAAATTTCCTGTTCTGTGGCACTGATGATATATTTTAGAATGAAGAAATATCTATCTTACACAAGTTCTTATAAGTTGATGCATGGGTCCCAAGACTCGGGAATTGCCATGAAAATGTGCATATTTTAAGTTGCCAGGGAATCATGTTCTATACACTTGCTTCAAACAGAATAAAACAAAGCTGTGTGACATTTTTCTTGATTGGAAATAATGCCGAATTGTCGTCAACTTTTTCATGCAGGTGAAAGCAGCAGGTGACAATAAAGACTTGTGCCATTCCATTTCACTTAATGCTGCACCAAATGCAAAGATCTTTCATAAAACAGAATCACCATGTAATCTGAAAAAGAAGGTATCATGTTTCAATTTACTTGTTAGCTGTTCTTTAAGTTCATAACGTAATTTCATGAAGTGGAAATGTTAGGCTGGTGAAAAATGTTTGATATTCACAGTAATATTCTACAATATTCTACTTTGTAACATGTTAAAATCATAGTCTATGACGGAACACAAGATAATTGAAGGCCTACTATTCGCCAAATTAGAAAAGAATCTGAAATTGAGAGACTCATATCTCGGAGTCTAATTTATCTTTAAACATGTATCTTTGTGCAGATCCCAACAGTTGTAAAACCTCGTTCACCTATAGTCCAGAGTATTGACTCACGACCACCTTGGAGGCTTTCAACAAAAATAGGCGATTCAAAGAATGTTACAGGAAAGAATAGTCTCCCCCAGGTCAATGCATCCAAGTTGTTTACAAAGAAGAGTATGCATGAAAACACTTCTCCAAATATCCAGCAGTGAGCATACTGGTGCTTTCCATTTTATATACTATTGAGGAAATGACGCTGTAAAAAGTAGATTTCACAGCAGTTTATGATGGAAAATAATTGTTAGATGGCACTAGGTGGTACACTAGAAATGTATCATCCTTGTGAGGTTCTTCAGGTTCTTGATTGCTGCTTTCAACAGCGACTAGAGTTCACAGATTTGTTCTTCTAAACACCCTTCGTGTATTTTCTAGCCATAGGAATGCAAAAGGCTTACCATTTTTTATTGTACTATCATTAAATTCTGTTAAAAGTTTGTCATTGCTAGAAATTTGTCGATAATGGAAATTTCTTCTCTGTTCTCCACCGTTGTGTTTTACCGTTAAATGCAGCTATATGTTAGTTTGCAAGCAAAGAAACACTTGGAACCCAATGCATTTTTGAATTTACCGAGTCTGAAAAGTATACATTGCAGTTAAAGAAACTTTGTTTGTCTTGCTCTAAGCGAGCCTGATTCATGTGCATTATGCACTTTGCATGTAATGTACACAGCGATGAGAGATACGATGAAATACATTCGGGTAGCTGTTGTCTAGAAGCTTGATTATTATGCTTAATATATGCCATCACCTTAGTATACATGCTTAATAGATCCATACAAGTGAAGCAACTTGTATGTTATAAAGATACCTTTCTTCATTGATGATATCTAACAAGCAATTATCCTGATTAAAGTTCAGGCAATAAATAGACCTTGCTCTATTACAGGATATTCCATTGTCTCACTTGCATTCCCGTAGTCAAAATTCAATGAATCATACAAGAGGGGTGGAACGTCATCAATGATCTCTTGATTACTGTAAGCAAAAGATTCTATATTCTCAAAGCCAGCATTCTGTGGATGAAAATCACCTCGAGGAGAATAACCCTGTAACTCCTCGTCCCACAATCTGAAACTCGATCCAGTTCCGAGGATTAGGTTTCTCTGTGAAGAGTCAACATCATTAAGTAGAATATGTTCTAAGCTGTGATTCTTTGTGTTCCACATAGAACTTGGGATCAGCTGAAATTCTTGACAGTGTGTCAAATGGCTTTTGGGTTGGACAGAAAACAACTCAGCTGTACTTTCGACAGGGGTTACTATCCCAATACCTTGGCTTCTGCTTTTGATGCAATTAGGCCCTATGTCTGCTCGTTTGTCTTTTTCGTTGGTGGAAGGCATTGGATGGTGGGAGAGAATCGGTTCAGTGCAGTCCACTTGGATGTGATTCCTAGCCAGTGGTAGGTGACTGAAACTACTCTCGGACTGGAAATGTGGCTTGTGTTCTTGCTTGAATTGAACTGGTCGAACTTCTGAGCTCCAAGATTGCGACTGGAAATGTGGTTTGTGTTCTTGCTTGAACTGCACAGGTGGAACTTCTGTCCAAGAATACTGAGTCGGGATCGTAGGTTCGCATTTCACATCCAAACCAATTTGTCTGAAAGAGTGGTTGAGGCCGGTTCTTGAATTGCTACATTTCTGAGGATCAGTTATGTCTCCAATTAGAGCTTCCTTAGGTTCAGCCATCTGAACTGAAGCAATCTTCATATCCTCCACATGAATTTTGGAATCAACATTCTTAATAGGGATTTTGCTTCCACAAATACCATAGCTTCCATTTGTAACGTTATTTTGTGAAGCATTGCTTGAATTCTGAGGGCAGACGTTACCAGCAGTGTCCTTTGAAGAGATGTCCGATTGCTTCATCCCACCAAACGTGGCTTTTAGTTCATTTTCTTTCTGCAACCGACTTAAATAGAGGCGATATTTCTGAAAGTATTAAAAAGAATACTTTAAAATTTTCGTTATCAGAACATAAAATGCAGAGTATTTACTCAACGTAGCTTAAACTACACGGGTTCCCAAATCTGGTTGATTTAAGATGCGAGACTCGTTGGAAACAGGTAAAGGCGGTTTTTGTCAGACAATATCTTCGAGTTGGTAACAGTAAAAGAAGTCGAATAATGATTACCTGCAAGTGGCTAGCAACGTTCTCTCTTGTTAACCAGGGCACTCCCATCGAGTCAAGTATTTTCTTAGGGCCAACTTCTGTCAAACATTAAAAAGTACAATATCTTTGTAAATTGACTTAATGATAAAAATAGAATGAGATGAACGTAAAGAAACAAGCAACTCACTATCATATCCAAACTGATTGACAGCTTTCACAAACTTCTGATGAAGTTCGACGGTCCAAACCACCCGAGCTTTCTTAACAGAGGATGGATCACCATAATGTCTATCGTCCTGCTTGTTGTCAACGTCTTTTCTTTTTTTTCCTGAAATTAGATCGGCCCCACAGAACAAGTAGCCATCATCATATTGTTCCATACCATTTCTCATCATCTGGATTTCTTCGAGGCTTTCTTGACTTTCAATATCTCTCACCTCGTGTATCCTTTTTCTGAACACATGTTGCCATATATTCCGAAGCTCTTTCATTCGTATAGGCTTAAGAAGATAATCACATGCACCATGTTGAACCCCTTTCATAACCCTGCTTGTTTCTCCATCAACAGACATCACTGTAGGTTCATTGATTACGGTTTAGCATTTTATATCAACAGAAGAATTTAACAAGAACAAATATATGCGACAGAATACTCACTTATTACGGGAAGATCCATTTCTAGCCCAACATGCTCTAGAAGCTTGAAACCATCCATGTCAGGCATGTTGACATCACTGATAACAATGTCAAATCTGTCCTTTTTTTCTCGGAGCAGGTCCAAAGCCTCTCTTGCAAGATTACATGTTGTTACTGAAACTCCCACCAAAAATAAAAAGCAGTCAAAATGATCAGGGATGTGTCATTTTTCAACGTCAAAGAGTAAATTTAGAAGTTAAAATACAAGTTTTCCAAGAAAACCCTCCTCTCCCCTCCTGTACTGTCCTAAGCGTGGGTAAATTATTGTAAGTTTTCACTTGCAGAAAATAAAAGGTATTATGCACACATGCAAATGTAAAGACTAGTGTTTTAATAATTTCCATGCTGAAAGACAACCTTTCAGTAAAATTTTATACTGCATAACTATGTACTTTATCCCAGCATGAATCTGAAGATGGCATTCATGAATCAGCGACTTTTTTATGAATACATAGGTTACATAGGTTCTGCTCTCAGATTAGAAGACTTGAGGAATTTTCTAGAAACAGAACCAGGATTCGGCATCATTTCTTTGAAGTGTGAAAAAAAAAAGCGAAAAGAAACAAATTGGTCGCTACTATCATGATGACATGACGGTCTAGAAGAGTCACAAAAGACTGCAACACTGGTGAAATAAACAAATGGATTGAGAAACGCGAAGTAGAGGTGAAGATTTTAGTGGTTAATTCAAACCGTAGTGCAATCATTTTGAGGCCGTATAGGGGTCACCTTGATACTAATTAACCAAGCAAAAACTATGGCTCGTAAAAAATCAATACTAGACAAGCTAATGTTTTCTGCTCAAGATAGTCGGTGTGGAGATTTTTCATTCATGAGCATTAAAGGAATTAACCACTTAGTTCAAATATATCCCGAGACTTCAATGTCTTCATTTAAGTTTTATCTTGATCAAATCTCACAAGAACTTTTGCTTCTAACATCCCTAGTAAAACCATTAACAGATTATATAGCTGCACTTTGTAGTCAATGTTGCCTCCCTTAGGAGTCTAGATCGTGTCTTAGTCCCAGTGTGGCTCATCATCCACTCGTGTCTCTATTTAGCAGCTAATCACGGCAATTGTGGACTCTGAAATTTAGGAACACTTTTATCTAAATGATTAATCAAGAAATTACGAGACGTTTAACATTGAACCTCAGAAAATATCTTCATCTAAAGTAACAAAAGAAATATTTATACACACACCAGCACAAAACTTTGCTGCTAAAGCTTTTGGGTCGAGTTGGGATTTTTCCTAGTATACACCTCAGATCCAACAGTTGATGAAAAACTTGACCCAAACCACCACAAGACCTCATCAAACTATAACCATTGTCAATCTTCAGCCACGTGGAACAGATAACTAAGTCTCAATCAAAAATTACCATATCATTAAGTCTACTAAACCTGAAATAGAGATTCTACTAGATAAATGTGGCTTCCAGCATTTCAATTTTCTTAGACAGTCATCTATATAGAATGGGATACTTAAGCAATGTGATTTCAGAAACAAAACTCATATTATAATAATTTTGGTAAAACTTATTCTTAGAAAACTGGAGAGGAATAAATTTAAATTCCATATATGTTTGCACCGAGTTTTAAAAGGTTAATTATTTTGGAGGAGAATAATGACAGTAATCAAATATATAGACTTAAAAAGAGGAAGAGAACAGGAAAGATTTTTTGTCTTCTCTTTTTATCGCTTGATCTTGTGAACTAATCGAGATCAAAATAGGCAAAATAGATGCGAAAATCATTCTGTTTCAAATTATGTTAAGCAACAAATCACTAAGGCATACATTTATACAACTGCATATGGTTTAGAGCTTAATCTTTGTACCTCATCACTAAACTTCATCAGAAACCGTCAATACTGTAAACAAGATAAAATTTTGAATGAAAAAAAAAGACCTCAATTTCAACATGAAGCAAAACCATAGATGCAGATTCCAAGCCTTCAACAAAAATCAGTATGTTAAAGTGTGTGTGCCGATGGTACATAGTATGGTACAGGACAGTATGGAAAATAAGATTTTAGCTTATTTTTCTTGCTCCCAACCAAACATAACATAAATTCTCAGATAAATGTACCATAAACCAACTCAAAACCTCAGTATAACACTAACACTAAAATCCTTCAAAAATTGAAAATCAATTAAAAATATGTCTAAGAAGATAATCCACAGTACATGAAAAAAGAAGATTAATTTCGCTGATAAACCATATAATAATATAATAACAAAATCACTCAAAAAAAGATAAAGTTTATACAAAGAGAACCTTCATATAAGCATTTCTTGAGCATCTTCTCAAGAATCTTCAACCAGGTGGGATCATCGTCAACAACAAGAACCCTAAGACCTGCCGGAAAAGCATCGGGTCTCGGAGAAGAAAACCCAGTAGTCTCCATCCAGAAAGTTGAGATTTTTGGGCAGAAAAGACAAATGAGTAATTTCTAGGACTGTGATATGTATATTTATTTATGTATAAAGATATGTGAGTCGCAGAGAGAGAGAGAGAGAGTTGAGAATTGAGAGTTTAAAAATGATGGAATTTGAGGTTTTTAAGGGAAGAAGAGAACAAAGACTATTTGGCGCCGGCTGTATATCTTTGTAGTTAACGGTCCATGTGGACACCACATTTCGGGCTCCGTTTTGTGCACCCCCTTCACCTCCACCTCCACCTCCACCTCCACCTCCATCCCCACTTTCATATTGAGTAACGTTATCTAGAATAATTGGTGTTAAAATATTGGTCTAAGTAATAATGTAATATTAAATGAGACATAATCAAATGAATTATTTAATTTTACATTTTATTGAGTATACATTTAGGTCCCTTTAATTGGTTTAAATTCCATGAAAAATGTCACATTCGAAAAATTCAATTTCTACTTTGACTGTTTGATACGAAAGTAGAAATGAAATTCAAATTCCAAAGTATAACAACTTGAAACTTAGTTTTTGCCAATTTTATGGAAAAATGAATTCATATGTGGTACTTCAATTTTTATTTTTCAACTTACATAAAATTTGAAAGCTTTTTGACATTTGTCAATCAAACACTTAAATTGATGTTCAGTAATACTAGATATCATTATTCAATTTGCGTACACACAATGCTAAAATTGCATTATTGGTCGCTATTGCCAACACAACTTACAATTTTTGTCGTACCGTGCTTTTGCTCAATTATTGCACGATAACTAGCTAATCTTAAAACTCGTCCTTGGTTCAAATTGCACAACTAGAGTTCATATGTATGAAGTACGAGATGTTAACAATCATCATTCAAATATTATAGTGAATTCAATCCCGAACGTGATATAAACTATGCATATTATAGTTTCAGTGATATATTTGGTTATCCTCTACGTTATTTAGAAAGAGTCAATCAAATGTGTATAAGATATTATTATTACTCTTAACAAAAAAATTAAATATTCAACCTTTACACCAACTCAATTGCAATAGAAGAGTTCGACCATTTGCGTTATATATCCCGACTTAAGTAGAGCATGTATAAAAGTTTTTGTAAGCTTTTTTGTTATGTTAAATATGAAAGACAATTTTTTTTTTTTTTTTAAAGAGAAGTAAAGATTTACCTCGTTAAAAAAGTAAATTTGGGGAGTATTCCATTTAGAAATGTCCGCTGGTTTTGACTCTCATGCGGCACAAGTAATTGGAAGAGAATGCAAGTTTAAGGGAGTAGATAGAAGCAACTGAATATAATAAGATGACATCACATTCTTATAGCTAGGGCTATACAAAAAATTGCAGAACCGCAAATTGAACCGAACCCATTGGTTTGAAATAGTTGGTTTGGGTCTATGTTGACCCTTGGTTTTTTTTCTTCAAACCGTTTCAAAATAGTTTGGTTTAAGTTTCGATTTTAAAAAACGCACAAAATCAAATTGAACCGCTTTTTTTTTTTTAAATTAAAAAATTAATTTTATTAAATTTTAAAATTTATAGCTTTCATTTAAAAAAAAATAAATACTAATTTAGCAATACAAATTACAATTTGCGCATTGAAGAAGGGATAATTGCAGCAGCGATATCAAATTTTTCATTTAATAGCGGATTATGCCCAAATCTTTCATTTGTGCCACCCACGGTACCAAATCATTTAGAAATTCTAACATAGAGTCCAACCAGAATAATAAAATTTGACTTATTTTAACCAATTTTTAAAAGGGTAACATTGAAAATTTATAATTTTCACAAAAACATACATAAATAAAAAATTATGTATAAAAAAAAAAAGCCACACCCACCCTCCCTCATCTCCTTCTTCCCCAACCCTCTCACGCAAAAACAAAAACCACCCTCACTCAATCAGCCGCCACCGTCTCAATCTCCAGCCCCAATGTCGCCTCAAAACTAAAATAGGACATGTTGACGATTATGCTTCAGTGATCATAAAAATCCCAAAAAGCCCCAATTTTAAAACCCTAAGAAGCTATATCTCTCCCCAATCTCCTCGTGAGAAAGGTACAAGAATTGGAGTGCATGGTACATTGGCAGCAGCGGAATTGAAGTGTTCTGAGTTTTATTTCATTACTTACTAATGTTCTGAGACTGATTGATGTATAATAAAGAGAGCGCGGGACGTTTCCACTACCTAAATGCTTGAACACGTCTTTTTGTTTGTAATTCAATAAAACTACGGCAGGAAATCATGTCCAAAGCCTTCTTGTTTGTATTTCAAATTTTAGACAAACATGAATGTAATTTAATATTTAACATTATTAGTTCTCTTTTAAACTTATATGTTAACTTATTATGTAAAAATACTACTATAATATTGATAAGTAAACCGCAAATTAAAATCGAACAAAACCGTAAATAATGGTTTGGTTTGGAAAAATTTCAAATCGAGTAAAATGATTTGAGTTGAAAATATGGTACAATCCGTCCAAACCAAAATGCATTCACTCCTAGTAAACTCAAAGCGAGACTGGAGTAGAAAGACCATAAGCGGTAAAGTTATCAATTATGTTTCAATATAAAAAGGCTTAAATGTGATTCAGGAGAGTAATAGAAGAATGAGTCTAAGAAAATGCGATCAAGGTCACAATGAATACTTGAAATTGGATTATTGCAATTAAAATAATTTGAATTTGAATAGAAAATATTTACATTTTATATTTGATACTGAATTCTCTATTGTCATGCATTTATATTATATTCATTAAAACAATATTGGACAAAATTAAAAAAAAAAAAAAATCATATTGTTAATTGACCTGATTAGTAAAATAATTGGATCCTAATTAGTAAGGTTACCCTAGACTGAAAAGTTTATTAATTGATTAACATCTATGAATATCTTCAAAATAATAAGATAGTAACTTGTATTGGTGTATAATTCTTTACTCGAATAATGAAATTGTTGCAATACAATGAAAGACAAAGACGTGTCCCGTAAAACTCGAGCATTTGCCTTGTAATTTTTTTAAAATACTTTGACGGTAAGAATCAAAGTTTTGAATAAATCCCTCAATCTTCATGAAAGTGGCATTTAAGAAAAGTTTTACAAGGGTTTATTGATAGTTTAACTTTTATGGAGCTGGAAAGTGTATAAAGTGTGTCTCCACCTATGCTTGTTGTGATACGGCAGTAGCAAGACATAATATCGAATGATACTATCACATTGAAATTGTCATAAAATTTTACCTATCTATATTCGTTTCATGAGCATGAATCACATTCGTCATTTCATTTTTTTTATCTCTACACTTTGATTGTAAAAGCAAATACTTTGAAACGCAAAATTTAGAACATGCACCTAAACCTTGGAAGTGTGTTATTCTTTCAAAGCAGAGTAATTATATTGTTTTAATCATTTAAGCAAAAGAACTATTTTTTTCACCTCTTCAAAAGCATAATTAAAGATACTTCCTCAAGGAATGCAAAAGCAAATTTAATTAGTGGCCTCAAACTGTTAAGCAAAGAGTTGAGGTACAATTGGTTGACAAAGAACCATGTTAAAGATCACTTTTGGCACTATGATTTCACTTTCTCACCTTATAATTCGAGATGTTTCCCGTATATAATATTAGATTAAATCGTGCAAAGCGCAAATAATATTTGACCATTTTTTTTATGAAAAAAAAAAAACATCTATCAAATATGTCTATAAATCAATACATCTTAAATCTAACCCTATATTTTGAAGAAGAGAGATGCTTCGTATATAGTACTGGTGTACACCAAGTTACACATCTCTCTTACAACAATAGTGGGGCACACGACTATAAAATAATCGTGAGGCCCACGATTGTGAGAGAACTGTATACAATGCTGTACGAACAGATTTTTCCTTTCAAGAATCTCCAAGACTCTAATTAATAGATGTATGCATGTAAAATATAGATAATTTGAAAATGCTCAATCATCAACAAACATTTCTATTGTAACCAAATCACCTTATACTGGTGTAGAGCACAATAAAAAAGATCGAAAATTATTGGGAACAAAATATAATTCCCCATGAGAGGACAAGCATATATCTTGTAAAACTTATATGTTAATCTAAACGTATCTTGTACTTTTGTACATAAAATTCTTCTAGTGCAAATTTTCAACGTGTTTAGAAAGTCTATTGAAAATTATTAAAACTATTTATTTTTTAATATAAGCTCCCTTAATCCTATTTCATTTGATTTTTCAAATAAGAACAATTATAATTTCGCAAAAATTTAATTTAAAGCATTATTTTTCACTCTAAAAAAGGTGATAAAAGATGCTTCCTCGAATGAAGAGAGGGTGATTAAGTCTAAAAATAAAAGCTCCGAATAAAATTTAACTTCAAAACATACCTGCCCCCAATTGGTTATTGAGCACTTTTGGCCAACCCCATATTTTCAAGAAGCTCCCAAAAACCTACAAAACAATAATTAGTAACCCTAATTAGAATTAATTGGGCAAATGCCCAATCATTCACACAATATAAAACATTTTTTTTCTTTATTTTTTCAAAGCAACAAGTACTAGTGTACTTAGTAGGTTGGGGTCCACCTTACAAATGTTTAGTGCTAATTATATGTAGAATTCCATTATAAGACCCCACATTTAGATTACTTAAGACAAAAACTTAAATATTGAAATGAACATGGGACATTATGTCTCTATCAAGTCAATTTAGAAACTCGTTCTATTCTTGTTGTCTCCATGTTGTTAGAGCGTGATTCTCACGCTTCATCCCTATTAAATTCTTTTCTCCAACGTGAATGGAGTTACAATGAGGTTCTTATATAAAATTTCAACTTTTTTACTAGTTTAATCTTGCATTTGTGTTATGCATTTGCAAGGAATATGTAAATTAATATAATGTTGATTTAGGTCAAGAAGTATCTTTAAAGCAACAAGATTTTAGTACAAGGCTAGAGAAGAGTGAATGGAACGT